TCTAGTTTAATTAATGCTTTTAATAAATCAGACTTAGGCATCGAATGGCCACGTCCCGTGTGTATCTAAAATATATGTGCATATATAAGTAAAATCTATCTTTATATCACCATATACCATTTACCATTTAGAGCCTAAAGTCTCTTGCTCATGTAACACTTATTACTTATATTACTTATGTAACACTCGTTGAATAACGAATTAATTTATAGTTTTGTTGGTTTTAATTAAGATGTTTTACCTAGACTCTCTTTGTTTATAATGAACAAATTGCTTCATAATTTAAAACAAAAACATTGACGGTCGAAGAATAATGTATTAGAAAAAGTCAACGATGAATAGCAGTCTGGTCTGAGGTTATATAAACATTCAAAGCAACGTCACCTAATGCTAATGGAACTTGGGTTATTGCATCCACATAGTTTTTATGCTCATAATTTATATAAATAGTTTCGATGAAGTTTGTTACCAAAAAAAAACAAAGAGAATCAATGAAGTCACGCTTCTTAGAGTTTCATGTTCTTATCTTGCGGCTCAAGTTAAAGTTTCTAGGGTTATTTTACCATTTTGGTTTGGTAAGAGCTCAAGTTTAAGCTGATTCGGTAACATTCCATTATATATACTGATCATTGGTTAATCAATTTCGTATAACGATCACAATTTCGTTTATGGCGATGACGCATAATTATAATTAGCCAACGTCGACGCTAAATGACAAAGATCCACCCTTAACGAGTCTATCGGTTCGCAGTTAGTCAACGAAACCATGAAATGAAAGTCAACGTAACCCGATCGAAACGAAACAGTCAAACATATCAACTTAATTCACAAATTACAATCTATGCCATTATTGTGATAACTTTCACAAAACAAACACAATCATTCGATTCACTATTATCCAAATGAGAGAAACACTCGTCTTCCTCCTCTTCTTCATAACTCTAACCGTCGCTACACGAACCACCGGATCGGTTAAATGTCAAACCGGTTCACTCCGTTACCCGTTCGGTTTCACCGACGGTTATCCGATCCGGTTCAATTGCTCGAACAAAACCGGCGATGCGAAAATCGGAGATTTCGTTGTACAGGAAGTAACAAACTCAAGCGTATACGTCAATATCCCTCCGATGTGCAAACGCCAGATCCGCAAAATTGAACAACTTTTCCGGGAAAATCTCGCTCCGTCGAATATACAGAACGTGATTCTCTTACAGGGATGCAACAAATCGTCGTCTAATTGCTTGATTAAGAGTAGATTCGTCCAAAACCGGTTAAATCTCAGCAGATGTGAAACTTCGGTTAGATGTCTCGACAGAGCTACGACGGATTCCGATGTGATGAGTATCGGAGACGTCGTTAATAGAAGTGACTGTAAGTATTGGTTCTCTTCGATTACGCCTGAGTCGAAGGATACTAAACCGAGATTTTCGTTGAGTTTGGGTCGAATCAAGCTCGATTGGTGGATTAAGAAGGGTTGCAGTAACACGACTTGCTCGGAAAACGCAAACTGTAACGTTGTTAAGCTTCCCGGCGGCGGATTTGGTCATCGGTGCGCTTGTAACGAAGGATTTCGCGGTGACGCGTTTACCGTTCACGGTGGTTGCCGATCAGGTTCGTTGTTTTGATTGACTCTTGTTCACAAATTTCGACCGACAAGTAGAAGCGAATCATACGATGATACGTGGCTTACTGAACAAAAAGATGACTTTTTCAAAAATTAGTGACGAAATGTTTAATGACTTGGTTTCGCTATTTTCAGTTCATAAACGCAAAGGACTACACAAACTCATTGTTCTTGGTACTGGTAAGTAATCTTCAAATTGTTAATTTATTAATATTCCGGTCTTAAATTACACTATATAGTGAGGTTTTGATAATAATTTGAATTTTGCTGTTTCGTTATATACCAGGGATTTTGATTGGAGTTACACTAATTGCGTTCTTGATATTTACTTATATCTACCGCTACAAACGTTCTGCGTTTTCCTCGAGAACGCCGATCGCGAATCGCTTGCTTTGTGAGCTCGCCGGAAACTCTAGTGTTCCTTTCTACACTTACAAAGAGATCGAGAAAGCTACCGATAGTTTCTCCGACAAAAACAAGCTCGGAACCGGAGCATACGGAACAGTCTACGCAGGCGAATTCCCAAACAGTTCATGGGTCGCTATAAAACGTTTAAGACAAATAGACACAAGTAGCATCGACCAAGTTGTGAACGAGATCAAGCTACTTTCTTCCGTGAGCCACCCGAACCTCGTTTGTCTCTTAGGTTGTTGTATTTCCCATGGAGAACCGTTACTAATCTACGAGTTCATGCCAAACGGAACGCTTTCTGAGCACTTACAACACGAAAGAGGACACACACCGCTTTCTTGGTCCTTACGTCTCTCCATCGCTTCTCAAACCGCAGACGCAATCGCGCATCTACACTCTTCGGTAAACCCTCCTATATACCACAGAGACATCAAGTCGAGTAACATCCTCCTCGACTACGAATTCAACTCCAAAATATCTGATTTCGGACTCTCTAGGCTCGGCATGTCTACAGATTTCGAGGCGTCACATATCTCCACGGCTCCACAAGGCACTCCTGGATATTTAGACCCTCAGTACCACCAAGATTTCCACCTCTCGGATAAGAGCGATGTTTATAGCTTTGGAGTTGTTCTAATCGAAATCATCTCAGGGTTTAAAGTCATAGACTTTACTCGTCCTTACGATGAAGTAAACCTAGCTGTTCTTGCCGTTGACAGGATCGGAAGAGGGCGCGTAGTAGATATCATTGATCCCTGCTTAAGAACAGAGAACAATCCGAAAATGTTTGCTTCTATTCAAAACTTAGCGGAATTGGCGTTTCGATGCTTATCGTTTCATAGAAACATGAGGCCTACAATGATAGAAGTTAAAGAAGACCTTCAACGGATTAAGCTTATGTACTTTGGTACAGAGTTAGGGAAGTCAAGAAACCGATCCGAAATCGATATGAAGAGATTAAATAGCCTAGAATCATCTCCGAGAGTATGAATGTTGTCGCAGGAGATTAGATAAGTTCTGTCTTGGATTTTTTTTGGTTCCTTGTGTATAAAGTAAAAGAAAAACAAATAAAACAATACAACTGGAAAAATCCAATTACTTCGTAAAATCTAAACTGAAATAATGTCATTCATGATATTACGAAATGGGCTTTGGTAAAACAAAAAAACTATAACTGTCACGGCCCAAATCCAATCTAGCCCGAAACCTTAAAGCCCATTTCGAAGCCCTACTTTTGTTCTTCCTAAAACCCTAACCCTATGAGCCACTTCACCTATTTAAAGGAGACAACGAGGAGTGGGAGAGGAAAAAAACGACTATCGTAGCGAAGTTTTGATCATTTCCCGACGTGAACCAGCCTCCACAGCCACTGTAAGGCGCAGACCTGTGCTCCGGCGACCGAAAACACCAAGGGAGAAGAAGCAACACGAAAGCTAGCGGAAGCAGTGACCTTGCGGGCCTTTTTCCCCGCTAACCGTGAAGATTCACGCGACGAGTCTCATACTGTTGGATAGATCTCTCTTTTTAGTTTCTGTAGAACTTTTTCGATCTCAATTCCGAGGTAAGACGAAGCCGTAACTCACGATTAAAGGTTGCCCTAGATCTCTGTTTCCTGCAATCAGAAACTGTTTTTTCAGTTTCGCAGAGCCGACTTTGGAAGCAGTTTTCCGTGGATAAAGAAGGTTGCAGATCACAGTTGTGGTTTCTCTGGAAAGGTGACGTTACGAAGGTTCCATATCAAGTTTTCGTTCCTCAATACGATCTATACCTAGTAAGCGGTTAGCGTTGCTTTCTCGCCAAGAATCACTCTTCTATCCAAATAGCAGGATCCCTAATTTGAGCTAACCCAATCGCAGATTGAACTCTACCTTCTAGCCGCTATTTTCCAGACGTAATTGCTACGGTGAGGGTGAGATTTGTGAATTTCTAAGGCTTTCTATGCAATGTGTGTCATGTGTGTTAAGCTTAGAGATAGAATATATGACGTAAGCTAATTGTTGATGATATTATGATTGATGTGAGATGTTGATATGAGTTAGTGATGATAAGAGAAAGTGTATGAAATAAAGTGTTAAGGTTGAATGAGAATGTGATGGTGAGTGAATGATAATTCCATTGTATTTTTGATTGTCGGTTTGTGATGGTGAGTGAATGATAATTCCATTGCAGCTCGTAAACAAGACTGACGAGTCGAGATAGTAGCAAGACCCGGTAAGGGAAGCTGGCTATCTAATTAGGTG